CACTTGGCAGGAACTTGCACTCTGGGGTGCTGCAAGGTGGACCAGAGTCCAGTGAATTCCCACTTCCAAACAGATTCCTCCCACATCCCCAGTGGTGAATTGTAGGTAAGTCTGAGCATACCATACACACAGAAGGAAGAGAGAATAAGTGGGTTCACATGTCATGATGAGCCACAGTGGTTTCTTGCACAGGAAGGTCTGCTGTGCCATTTAAACCTGACATGGTATTTCAGTATGGCAGGATTGGTTTTTAGAAACCACAATAAGGAACAACTATCTGTTCTGTTTCCATACTTCAACATGGTTTCTTCAGTTGTCTAAACCAAGCATTGTGGTTTCCATGGTCCTGCTATGAACCTACCACAGAGTCCTCTGGAAAGAATGGCAGCAGCAAGAGCTGCCCCAGCCATCCAACACAGGATTAAATGACAGGCATGGTAGCTGATGGGATACATGCCAACAGTGGAAGGACTGAGTGAGGAAGGTGGAAGCCTTCTAGCACAGAAAACACTTGAACTTTTTTCAGGTACATCCAGGCAAAACAGTGTGCAGTGTGGAAACCATTTGATGTCAGGTGTCTTGACATGATTTGTGAATCCAGCCAATGAGAAGTATACTAATCAAGTGCCATGTTGTTCATTCGCTCGTTCCAAGTGTACCTTTGATCACTATAAATATAACAGTATGGATATGAAATTATTTTGCAAATGATATAAACCTAGTGTCTGATTTATATGGGATGCCTCATGCAAAAAAGCTTACCATGGGCACCCCATCATATTTCAGTGCACTTATTACACGCAGTGGTCCATTCATACATTAATTTAGTACTCCAACAAAGGATGGCTTATATGGCTACGTCATGGCATGCTTCTACACAAATGGACCAGCGCACATTGTATGTAAATGTAACCACTGATGCATGGAAAGTTTGCACAGGTAAATGACTTTCCATCTGTTCCTTGTTATGGGTACACCAAAACTTAATAGACATTGTTAACATGGAGTGAATGTGATTCTGTTGTTTTTAGAATGGTAACTAAGCACAAATAAACCTTGACAGAACCATCTGTAATGAAATAAGCCAGCTGAAGCTTCAACACTTATGTGATCCTATAAATTTACAAATATAGATCTCTCTCTCTCTCTCTCTCTCTCTCTCTCTCTCTCTCTCTCACACACACACACACACACACACACACACACACAGAGAGAGAGAGAGAGAGAGAGAGAGAGAGAGAGAGAGAGAGAGAGAGAGAGAGAGACTTCAAAATGAATTATTTTACTGAACATAAAAGATGTTTAACATGACTGGAACCATAATTTCTTTTACACATTGTAAAGTTAAGCAGGGATTAAAAGGAGCCAACAGAGTTATCAAGACAGGAAGCACAGGAAGGTCAAGCCATGTCAGAACTATTGTATCTAACGACTGAGGTGATCCACATAATCTAGAAGCCAATATCTAGTAAGGTAATTCTTGTTCAAAGCACAAACTCCATACGGGGAAGATCTGCATACAGCAATTGCAAAGGCATAAAAGTGTTTTAATTTTATGAGAAATAAGAATAGAAAGTGTGATACATGCAATGTCAAACCATAGTTTAGTGTCAAGTAGCCTACATGCATGAACAGAAAGGAATCCATAGGAAGCCAAAAGCTCATACATTCACTCTACACAACTGGGAGGAGGCCTAATCCAGAATTCAGTTTTACTTTACTAGATTACTTGCTGGTTTTTTTAAAAACAAAATTCTTAGTTCACAAGAAACTCTCGTCCAGCTTTCTCTGACCTGTTCCCTTCAAGGACTGTCAGATTAGAACTCAATCTCACTGGCCAGTAGCCATAGCTAAACTGGAGTGGAAAAATGGGAACTGCAGTTCACCACATCTAGAGGACACCTGGTTGGGGAAAGCTGGACTAGCCCGTTTCTGAATGACTCTATAAGCACCTCAGGATGTTTTGATGGTTCAAGCAACTAGATTTTGAAATAACAATTTCTTGGTCCAAGAATTGGCAAAACCTAGTTTATTTCTCCTCCTTGCCATACAGGAGGAAAAGAGAGGCACATAGGGTTCCTTTTTTGCTCAGGCAAGAAGAGTTTCAAAGTTTCTGATTATGCCCCACAGACTCTGCTTTTTAAACAAGCCTCCAAGTTTCATTCAAATCAGAGCTCTCTTAGGTTGTGGCCTCTTCCTTCTCAGGCTCGAAGCAGTGAGTTTAATTTGCCTTTAATTACTTCCTGGGTCATCCTATGAAGCACATCCCATGCAGGATCTAGTAGTTCTTTCATATTGTTACAAAGTGATTCATATCAAATTCTGTTTGCCTTTACAAAATACAGTTGCACAAAGTGTCTGGTTACACAAAGGCTTACACACAGTTACTACTAAGAAAGGGCTAATTTTGTCCCTAAGTAGCTGCACCCTCTACTGATGATTTACATGGGTGAATGCAATATTAAAGACAGAACTTGGTTAGTCCTTCACATGAAGTGCCATGCTTTTTCAATCATTCACACATTCATTTGCTAATCAAACTAGCGTAGAAATAGCCAAGTAATGTTCATACATGTATAAACCAGGCATAAGTTATCATGTTAAGCCACACCCTTTGATTTGCATGTGTGCATAAAATATATAGAATAAAAAGAAAAAATGGACAAAAGGTCAATGTTCATGCATGCTACTCACATCTTATAAACCGATCAAAATGTAAACAGGTTGAAAGTACTATAGACCATATGGTTTTCAACAGAGAAACAGTTATACAGGCACATGAAGATGATGTCTAAATTACCATGAAGCTAACATTGGGAACATACAACACATTTACATGGAAGTAAGAGGTCTCATATTCTGAGGGTTTGTTTGTTTGTTCGTGGGATTTTCTTAAGATGTATCACTAGGCTTGTTAAAAGCAGAACCAAAAAGAAAGCATCCTGAACTGGGGCCTATTTTATTTTCTCCACATCAGTTTCACAAGCAAACAGAAAATCCTAGCCCATGACTCATGCACCCAAGGTTTCCCCACTTCCTAAATATGGCCCATCAGTACTCTAATTTGTCACGTCACTGGCTGCTTTTGCACAAATTCCAGAGAATCCTTTCTTACCATTCATGAGCATGTTGTCTGACTGTTCCATTTGGCTCTCCTACCAATAGGATTAACCAGAACTCATCAGCAAATATTTGTGATACTTCTGCACCCTAACCATTAAGGCGTTACAATCCAGCTTCAGATGTTGGCTTGTTAGGGGAGTGACAACCCCGAAGCTTGGAAAGTTAGCTTTCTTTCCTGATGAGTTTCTTGTAAAAGGAGCCAAGGGGGAGCAGTCAGTTAGCATACACAGCATCCTTGCATGCGAACAATAAACTACCCTTCTCTGGAACTCTGGCTTATCAATCACATTGAGCAAGTCATTCACTCTGTACAAATGTTTGGTGCAGCCATTGCCTCCACCCTTTCTACAACTATCCACCTCTGTAGCACTGAACTTAAAACATCAGTTCTTCCTATTCCTGCTCCCTCTCTTCAGCTTTTCTCGGATTCCTGGATTTTGTATTACTAATCCTATTACTTTAGTATTTGGTTGGTGAGTTTACACTAGAACATGTCCTTTCTTGAACTTCAAGACAAGACAAGACACCCACAATAATTTGTAGCTAAGTCTAAACACAGGAATGCTTTCCAGTAGATACCTGAGTCTGGTGTTCAAAATCCAGCTGATGACATCCCACAGGAACTATTTCTAAACCTTACAAATAACCACAAAAATTATTGTGTCTGATTTCTGAAGGAAAAACAAAGATCTTTAAATGACCCCAAATCAAAGAATGAACATAAGCTGTCAGTAAGGCCAGCACTTAAGACTACCTAATTTCCATGTTCCCACTGCACCTGAGCTGCTTGCTCTCCCTCTTTCATGCACACACACACACTCAGCAAAGAGAGAGATTGAGAGAGAGAATTAACAAATGCCTGGGTTCCTTTGAGGAACAGGCAGGATATGAATGTGGCCAATAAATAAAAATAAACAGATATTTCATGATAACACTGTATATATTTGAAAGTATTCTTTGTTACATTTTAAAGTTTAGGAATGTTTCTGTCTACTACTGCATATTTATTTATTTAAAGCTTTTATATACATCCTTCACTAAAAGTCCCAGGATGGTAACACAATGAAATAAAAGCAGAACACTAGGCAACAAATTACATCATATAAAACCCCATCTTAAACACATTAACACTTTAAAAATCAGGAAAATAAAAAGGGTTGGCCTGGCGCCAAAATGAAAAAAGTGGGAAATATACTGCTAAACAAAAAGGAAAAGCAAAGGTGTTTGATCTATTTGAAACCTCATTAAGTTGAAATATTACATAGATCATCATTGTTATTTCAAGTAAAGTTTCACAGAAGCCATCCATTTCCTTTTAGCTAATAAAAGGATTGCTGTGACAATTTGTTATCTAGATTAGCAAACATAGTAAACAGCAAGGAAAGAAACAGGATCTGAAGAAAGAGTCATTAATTTTTAAAATGTGCTTGCTTAGCATATAGTTGCCCGGGTGTATATGCATACTACAAAATACATGAATGCAGAAAACTACTCATACCAATCAGTTGGTGGAGCATCTGGTTAATGATGTAACTATGTGGTAAAATAGACACATTTATTACATTTATACTACGTTTCCTCAAAGGTGGTTGCATAGATCATCCCACAATTAAAATTCACAAGGAAGGTTAAGTTGAGAGATAGTGCACAAATCTGGCGAGCTCCATGGCCAATTCAAGAGCTGAATAAGCGTTTCCCAAATTGTGGTTTTATACCCTGGCTAGAATTCCGGTGCACACCCATACAGAAGAAATGTAATGTAAAGTCACATGTAAAGTAATTCTCAATGATGCTCATATTTTACATAAGATCCCATGCATATCTTCCATTGACAAGCATTCATGTCTGGGAATAGATAATAACAAAGAACTACTCACAGTTTTGGCTTAGCAAGCACGGGTGGTGGTGTTTTTGTGGGTGACAGCAAGCCACCAGGATGAGGAGATGGATCAGTTTTGGTGTTGCCATTAACGACCCCATTTACTCCACGACTGGGCTGGATGCCATTGCTTTTCTTCTCTGCTGAGTTAAGCTGTAACTGAAGAGCTGCTACACTTGGCCTAGCATTATTCATCTGCTGGTTCTCAGAGTACTTTGGAGAAAGTTCAACAGTACTAATCTCAAGATCTGGAGGTGGAGGTGGGAAGTAGTGGAAGTCATTATCATTCAGTTCACTCATTGACACATCTTGGCTGGAACTCTCAGAATTGGCTAAAACAGAGAGGGTAAAAGAAAACTTAACCTCTTAGATGGAGGCAGGAACTAGAACATATAGCTTGAATTATCCTCACAAGTGTAGAAGTGTACGCTTGAACTGTATCCTCACCTTTAATGAACTCACTATTAACACTTAAAAGCTAAGCCAGAAAGACTGTCCTTCTCAAGTTCTCATGAACATTTGAGCTGATGTAACCATCTTAATGAATATTTATTCTGTGCTTTGTCCATGATGCAGGTTAGAGTAGTTGCCAAATAAGACATGTGACTGCTTTATGCATGTTCAGAATCGGCCAAATGAGTGAATTATATGCATCAGAGTTTTGTTAGCACTACCACAGCTATTCAAAATCACTGTGCGTGAGAACCATCAACTTATTCCAAACCATTTCTGGTTTACATTGTATATTGGCAGGAGAACTGCATTTTTGTCTGTCTGCTGCCACCTAGCCTCAGAAACATGGTGTTAAAATCTGCCCAACCCATGAAACATTGTCTTTCTAGGAGCTGTTGGTGAAGATTAAATTTAAGATAAAGAAACAAAATCATCAATGATTATTTTAATCCACTTTGTGTATTACTGTGCCAAGTGTTCACACTGCACATTTTTAATTGGCTGTTGGTGAAACTTACCCTCTAGTGGATAGCTCTCTTGGCTAGTCAAGAGGGCCTAATATCTCTAAAAACATCCAAGGATCACTGAATATTGTGTATCATTAAAACAAGTAAATATGAACCCATGCTGTAAGCTTATTAAAAAGACCAGTCTAGATACAGTTCTTAGATATTAAACCTTCTTCCTCTGTGATTCTAAGAACATAAAGATAGGCTAGACATGCACATGGTGGGCATGTCGTGAGCGGAGCTGGCTGGAGCCAGGGGTCAGACTAGATGGCCCGGGAGGCCCCTTCTGACTCACCCTGTTTCTGTGTTCATAGAGGCTATAAGCGATGGGACGGCATACAAAAACTCTAAATAAAATAAATAAATAAATAAATAAATAATGCCAAGATGTGCTGGTCCACAACTGAAGTATTAAGTTCTAACAAAATGCACATATAACACTCATATAGCACTCAAATAGTACTATACTATGAGTACTATGTGTATAGTAGTCATATAGTACTATTTTTTTTTTCAATTCTTCCATCCTTATTAGCCATCTGATCCAAACAAACTGCTGTCCACATTACCCAGGCAGCAGCAATGGCTTTCAACCTCAGATGCGTGTCAGTACTTAACCTTCACAATCAGCAGCTGCATTTTTCAAGGTTTAGTAAAGTCCACATGGCTTCTTTTCCTATGCCATAATGTCTTTGAGGATTACATGGAAGCTTCTTTGCCATGTCAACATTATACATTCTTTCTACCCAGATGCAGGGTAATGCATCAGCACTAGAGGATGTGGGAAGAGCAGAGACTAAACAAGGGATACACTCAGAAGGGTAGACAGACTGTCTCGTTCCTTTGCTGAAGCTGCATCCAACAGTGGCAGAAAAAATGCACATGAAACTCAACTTCAATGCTATACCTGACAGCACGGTCAGTTTTGCACTGCTGGTGACTGAGCCGTATTCATTTCTCGCTTTGCACATGAAGGTTCCTGCATCCTCAGGAAATGTCTCCGCAATCACCAGTGTGCAAATCTCCTCTAAAGGAATACAGAAAAAACAAGAGGTGAACTTCTTTGTACAAGCTTCACATGGACGGTTACAAGACTGAATAGAAGATTTTGTGTCCAGTCTCTCATGTTGTGTGTTTAGGCAACTAGAATGAAAACAGAGATGCACAAGAACCAAAAGCAGGCAAGAGAGGGGAAGGGAGAAGTCTTTCCCCACCCCCTGCTCACTCTGCAGCAAAACACAACCTAAATTCCTTGAAGGAAATACAATTTTGTGTATACGAAGTACAACATAAACTGAACATTAAAGTGGGAGTAAAATCCTAAAGCAAGCCTGTTTAAAAAGTAATCCCATTAACACCAAGAGGGAGGCAGGGATGTTAAAGTTTGTGATATAGCAGAACCACACAGAAAAATCAGATTTAATTTAGATATAAATATGTTAATAAAACATACTGTTATTTCTTTTTCAGAATTCTAAGAAGTCCCTTAATTCAGTTTGGCTCTTCTGGGCTTTTCACAGTATTTTTGCCTAACACACATTTCCTCTATCTTCCCTGATGCTGAAACTTCCAATACAATATGAGCTCATTATCTTTCTCCATCTTTCATACACATACAGGGAGACAATCTTTATAATAAACATTTTCAACATAGCCTTTACCAAGTATTTTTAAAAGGTTATGTTAAGCCAAAAGTTGCACTTTAAAAGCCTGGATGAAAAGTCCCTCCCCTCACAGTTACCCCCCCCCCATCTAATCTATGCGGGGGACACCCAGAGAAAGCCCTCTGAGTATCATAACAAGCAAGCAGCTTCTTATGGAAGCCAGCAGTCTCCTGGATCCCTGCATATCACACATATCTGAGATGCTAATAAGAGTTATATTTAATCATTTGCAAGGAGTTTAAAGCTTCCCTCTCAAATGTGATGTACTATTCCCCCCACTTTTGTATACAGGTAGGTAGGATTATTAATTGAGCCCATGTTGGGTGCCCAATTCAGTCTAAGGCTTTAAAGTGCAAAAGTCTTGGGTCAGACACATAGTCCCACAAGCTCATCATCACTGAACATTGGACATCCACAGAACTGCTCCTTTCCAGATGAATTTAAGCCTAGGAAACTGACGCATAGGTTTGCCACTCTGGTACAGGCTGTACACATTGAAATTAAGGTATCACCTTAATTTAAAGTCAAAAATAAAATCAGTTGCGTTAAAATTAAGGGCAAGAGGAGCCACCTTTGGTAAGTGTTACCAGGTTGTGCCATGAGTAAAATAGGGTGATCACAAGCAAACCATGCTTTCACATTTAAACAAGACCATTAAATCAGCATGTCTGCTTGTAGAGCACTGCACCCATAAGGAAAAACTAAACGGCATGCTTTATTTCACTTTATACATATTGAGCCTGTTCTCCTAAAATGAAGTACTTAGGCTACAATCTGCAGCAGCACCAGGTTTCTGAAGGCTGCTGGACAAGCCATTTCCAAGGGCCTCTCCAGCAGCAAGTCCAGCTTCTCATGACCACTGCTGCTTTCTCACAAGCCCATTCTCTCAGTCTCTGCAGCTACAGCTTGCGTGCTTGCCAGTCAGAACCTGTGAGTGAGCAAGCAGGGGCATCTCACCTCCACTGCCTGCATCAGAGCGAGAGGCAGGTGAACAAGCAGGCGGCAACAGGGGGAAGAAGCCACTCCAGTGGGTTTTTACCAGTGCGCCCTGCCAAGGAGGCACCCAGCCGTGCCTACCCTTGATGCTGACCCTGGCTATGACACACTTATTTCCCCCTGCCATTTGCCACTGATGCATTCTGCAAGTATGCAGTTCAATTGAGGATCTTAACTTTTGAAGGAGAATGCTGTGAACTGGACTTAATTGGTTCAACCCTAATTTTCTTGTAAGAAAAGCTATCTTAATTCCCTCTTAAGAGTATGGGAATGATGTAAGTGCTTGTGCAAAACAAGAAAGAGCAAAGCTTTTTTTCTTGGGGGGATATATTTTGAAATAATAAGGGGAAAATAAAAAATGTTGCACTTTTCTTATATGAAATGTTGCAGAACTGGTACAATGAATAAATATAGATCCTGATATATGACTACATTTATTTATTTATTTATCAATTTATATGCTGCCTTTTTCTGACAAAGGGCTCAAGGCAGCTTACATCATTCTCCTCCTCCATCTTATCCCCACAACAACAACCCTGTGAGGTAGGCTGGGCTGAGAGTCTGTGACTGGCCCAAAGTCACCCAGTTGGCTCCATGGCTGAGCGGGGACTAGAACCCAGATCGCCTGAGTCCCAGTCCCATGCACTTCACCGCTACACCACCCTGGCTCTACTATTAAATTATGCATAAACTTCAACAAACGCAGCCCAGAAATGCATATAATTATCCATTTGCAAACTGGGCCTAAAAACCACCTATTTAAAAGTCAAAACTTTCAACATGGATTCCATGTATTGTGTTATTATAGGTTTCTGTTTATCCTTACAATGTTTGCTTTATTTATTTATTTACTGTATTTGTATGCCACCCCACAGCCAAAGCTCTTTGGTTAGTTTAATATCAAAAGATGTAATCTAAACATTTTAGCTGTCAAAAGGGTACAAAGAATCCATTCAAGCTGACATCACATAAATTCCAAGGTAGTTAAAAAGATCATGAGCACCAGTAAATATTAAAGAACTTTACTATCCAAATTATTATTAGCTCTTCCCCAAAGATAAAAAAATGGTATTGCCAAAACTCATGACGAAGAGAAATATTCACTGCTACTGCATCTCCAACAGTTAGCTGATTTAATTAGGCCCTTGTTGAAAAGACATTGTGGCAACCAGAATATATAAGATATATTTTTGCTCAATTAAATATGACAAAAAATCTATTGTCCATTCTGAAATAGATGCCTGCAAGGTACTCCATTGATTGGGCTAAACAGGTTGCTTAAAACCACTGCTTAAAACCGGGTGTATCATTTTTATTTATCAATAATGGATACTTTTAAACATGAATAATGGGTCAGTGTAGTGGTTTAGGATTGATCAATACTTCCAACTTGGGCTAATCAATACTCACAATAACAAAGCAGGCTCTGAAGTTATAGAAGTGGCAAGGCCAAACTTTGATCCTAATAAATCATCTGAATATGTTTCCATAAACGTCATAGCTGATTCTTCATAATTAGCATGCAAAATTGAATGGCAGGAAGTTATCACTGACTCAAAAGAAAATCCAATCTGTCCATCCATATTTCCCAGACAAGTGTTCTCTTTTCGGTCTTGAAGTTCAGGTCTCCTTATAAGGTTAATTTTCCATGCAAAAATAAATAGCATTGATGTGAACATACGCACTGTACTCTCCTACGGATGCAATTATAAGAGGCACCCTATTTCTTTAATGTGCCAAGAACTCAGTGCAAACCACTTGGGAAGAAAATCTATGACTGCAGGTTTTGCATCCTGAAAGCATTGATGTGCAACATGGTCCTGTGGGGGCAGCATAGGTGTGGGGGAGAACTGGCTTCAAAGGTTTAAGAGTGCATATGCAAGGGCACTTCAGATGGATCAGTGACCCTATAATGCTTCTTAACCAGCTTGTATTCAATATCAGGATATAAAAAGGGTGGATATTTCCTTTATTCTTTCAAGCAACGCCTGAGTGGAGCGGTTTTTGCATTAGTAATTGTACACTCCAAACCAGTTCAGGACTTCAGCCAAAGAAGCTCATAGGTCAGATCTCGAATTTGTGGCATGAGTGCCCCCAACGTCCAGCTGTATTCAGAAGCAAGGTTTCACACTTAAAGGTCACCATCCAGTATGCAATTATGGGAGGGCAGTCAGTGGAAATTACTTCTGAGTAAACATGGCGAGGGTGGCACTGCAAGCCGTACTTGCTTCACTGTAAAACTTGAACAGCCTTTGTGTTTCTAAATTCATGTCAGTGCATGTAGAAAAGCAACACAACTATGCAAAATGAGTTATGATTGCCTTCCTCCTTTAAGTTAAATTATTATTCCCAGGAAGCAATTCCTCATGTTACAGTGAGTGGCAGTTGATTGGTGCCTCAATTAAGTTCAACTGTTTTTCCTTTTATAAATTATTATATATTATTGTATACCCAAAGACTTCCTGTGTTGGAGACAGTCTGAGAAGGAAGGAGCAATTAAAAAGGTCTAGGATAGGATTCTCATTCTGTTCCAGACAGTAGAACAACTTCTGTTGGAGTACAGAGCAGTCAGTAGACTATTACAAGGGTGGGGGGTTGGGGGGGTTGGGTGGTCTGGTATTAATTGCTACAACACATCAGTTCTTAATCTCTTCTAGATTATGAAAGATTGTATCAGACAATTAATAGACAAGACATTTTGCTCCCAATCAAGCAATTGTTAGCAATTGTTCACACAATTTAATATTTTATGCAATGCCATGCAGTGTTAACCACACAGGCTCATTTAATATGGAAATCCAATTATATGCATCTTACTGCAGAATACTAAAAATGTAGAATACTTCAGTAAAATATTTATACTTTTGATGAAGCCAACAAAGATAAGTGGCTGTTAATAGTTCTAGAATTTCAAGCTTCTTTTGGTAACAATCTGCATAACTGTTTCAGCTACTTAAAGAATGAACTGTTAACTGTACACTCATAATGGATAAGTTGGGATTTATTCTAGTCCACTCTATCCTGCAAATTCAAGGCAGGAAACAGTAAAATCTAACCAAATAAAAGCATAACCAGCTCTGAAAGTTACAACCTGCAACAGCTTCTTTTCACGAACAAAAGATCATTACACAAAAAAAGATGATTTAGGCTTTGGTGCTTCTATAAAGAAAGGGGATCAATGGATGGATGGTGATCTCTGAATCCATGTTCTACTTCCATAATCACCCTAAATTGCTCAATACTGTCACAGCATAAGACCAGTTGGGATCAACTTAAATTATAGTTACCAATTAAGCTTTAAAAATTGCTAATCTGTTTAGTTCTTATTTCTGTTAAGGATATGTTGTACTTTTTAATCATTTAAGCA